TCCAATTATTTAATAAATTGGAAAAAAATTATATACTAATATAATTCGAAATTAATATTATTATTTATATACAATTATTATTTATTTAATTTTTTGACCTTTTATGATATTTTAATTATGAGATTAATTATACATTACTAAATATGATTAAATTTGCATATATATAAGAAAATGAAAACAATTAACAAATATTTTACATTTGTAAAAAGAAGCATCCAGAAATATAATGCTAAATAAATAAAACAATCACAAATTAAAGCTTGTAAAATGAATTAAAATGAAAGAAATAATTAAACAAGATATAAATGAATATAAATAAGGTAATTAAGTTAATTACCTTAATAATGCTGCCCCACTCTTCATCAAATCAGTGAACCTTTAGAAAAAAAAAAATTCAAATAATTAGTTAGTAATATAAGATAATAAAATTTAAATAATTAAAGAAAATAGTGGTAAAGAAGAATTAGTAAAGAAAAATAGAGGTAAAAGGAGAATTGGTAAAAAGAATAGGTAATAATATAACATTATATAAAGGAAAAAAACTAAAGAATATAAATATATTGGAAGAAAAAAAATTAAAGCTAAGTATTGATTAATAACTAATAAATAAGATTTAATGAAAATAAAAGAAAATTAACTATAATTATGAGAACTAAAAGATTGAGAAAAGTGTTGAATTTGAAAGAGAAGAGAAGGAAGAAAGAAACGAATAGAAGATTGATAACAAATGGCAAGAGTGAGCCATGATATTTATAAATGGGCATGGCATATTTCGGTCAATTTAATTGACCGAAATAAATGGCTCAAAATTTTCAAACACTTTCCCGCAAATAAACTAGCGGGAATATCTTTCTAATTCGGTCAAAATACATGACCGAATTTTTGTGGAGGGAATTTTAAATTTTTCCCAACTTTTTCCAGTGATATCCTATTTTGATTTTGATTTTTTTTTTTTCCTTATTTCGGTTAAGAGGTTTGACCGAATTAATCATTTCACTAAATTTAAGATCAATTGCTAATCAGGGCATGGGATGTTGCCATTTTTGGTCAATTTACTTGACCGAAATGTATATGATATTTTTCTGGGATTTTGCCTATTGTGGTCAAGTGTATTGACCGAAATAGGTAGTTAAATCTCCAGTGTTTTTGCTTTTATTAAGTCTTATTTTTTTACTTAATTTGTTTAAAACTTTATTAGATAAAATTTTTAACAATTATAAAATTTTTAACAATTATAAGGCTCTATATTCAATTCTAAACATATATTAAAACATGTAATTGAAATACATAAATATAAAAAATAACTTAATATTATAATTAAAATGTCATGACATAAAATACTAATTAAAGTGCTATATCTGATCATAATCTCATACATGGATAAGGCAAATTAGAAAATATATTACAAAATATAGGTAAGTTTGGTAAAGAAACTACAGTTCTTGAATGGAACGTACTTTTTCGCATGTCGCATCCCATGATTTTTCTGAAAATGTTAGACGCAAACGACCATTACCTAAGATCTTTGTAACAGTTTTAGAGGACTCAGCATGTGTTTTGGATGAGTTTGACATGATTTCTGATCGATAATGATTTGGGCAAACCTTTGCAGCATGACCCTCACGGTTACACAATTGACAAGTTACTGCATATCGATGCGGGCATATGGTAGCTAAATGTCCAGGAA